CAGAGTCGAAAGCAGCTTTCTACTCAAGGAAACCATCATAGTCGGCCGTCTGTATGTGTCTGCTCTAACACATGACGAAGAATAAATATGTGGTCGATACGATCACAACCAGGGCTTTCAGCGAATCGGTTTTCACGTGGAACAACAAGTCGTCGGAGCATGATACTACTGCGAAGTTAGGATGCAACGGAGATAAGGCGAATACCTCGATGATTTTCGCAAAAAGTGCGCTAATCTTTCTTGAAGATGAGCACGAAAGTTGTCAGTCGCTAGTCTGAAGGCACCTCTTCAGGGTTCCATCTCGTGTTAAATAGAGTAGCGAATCCAGCCAACAAATGTCACCACCGTCTTTCATCAAAATGGAGGAAGGTCGTTGGGTCTAGGAGCTTGTTTTCGTTTCGGCACAGAAAGCTCATGTCGAATCTCTTCTAAAGTGGGATGTGTAACATCGACATCCTATGTCGGTTCACGCGATTCGGCAAGCGGCAGCGTCGCAACCTTGCTGAGCTGCTCTTCAAGATATTTCTCCTAACTGGCTAGTCGATGCGGCAGAGAATGGATCAGTTGTCCATTATTTTTAGCTATTGTCTCGCCAACTGTTGGCTTTCTTGACCCGTGTTCAAGATGATCTGGAACAGCACTCAATTGTTTCCAATTGCAGTGGTTTTCTTCATCTCACGGGCCTTTGCCATGCACCAACGTCCCCGGTCGATTCGAAAACTCCTTGAGATGCGTCGTTTCTGGGAGTTACGGACATGGTGAAACTCAGTACCTATTGAAATCTGTTTCCGTGCTTCGATCAAGCTGATCGATGCCTCAGAGACCTATTCTCAGTTACGATGTCTCAAGTTGCGTGCGCAACATGCGTCAAAGACATTCTTCATGACATATTTGAGACGATCCCAGTCAGCGTTCGGTTCACCAACCTCATTCATCACAGACATTTGGCGGGCCAGTTTATCATGATATTGTTGAATTGCAGATTGCTAGTTCGGGTCGCAGGTAAGATTAGCAGATAGGCGCTTCTTTGAAGAGTGAAGAGTGAGCACCAAGCGTGCGTACACTAGAACATGGTCGGGATCCAGACATGTGCTCCAAATCGACCGGCAGTCTTGGACTGATGTGCGCCATTTGTAGTTGAGGGCAATATGATCAAGTTTGTTTCAGATTATTGAGAATTTAGTGGGCGCCAGGTGACGCGGTGTGAGCGTTTGTGCTGGAAAGCAGTGCTGCAACGTAATGTAATCAATCTCTGAACGATTGCTCAAGAGACAGTCAAAATATGTTCGCCAGACCTGCATTCTTTCTACAGTCTGCGTGCAGGCAGCGCTTGAAGTAGCATCTACCTGCGTCAGATGATGAAAGATCGGTCCATGCACCGCCTTCAAGGGGTCAAAGAATTCCTTGTGTTGGCGGCGAACGGCGTAGCAATTTAACTGCTTAACCTCCATCTACCAAGCATTCTTGATGCGACGGGGCTTTCGAGTCGCCGTCAAAGTTTGCGTAACTTTTTCTGAGCCACCAGGGTCCGCCACATGTGTAGCGAACGCTGCATTCTTCTCCGACACCAATGCGCCAATGGTCTTACTGTTATCATCAAACCAATCGGGTAGCTTACAGTTTGCGAGCCTGTTGGTTCGCTCGGCAACTTCGGTAATCTATTCTTTAATATGTTGCCACAGATCGCTGACTGAGGCGATCCAGTCGACATCGTCAATGCGCGTAGCCATCTACTTATTAATTTACCTCCCCAACAGTACGTAGGAAACAAGCACTAAATTTCCGCCTGTTTACGACAAGCGAACAATATCTAGCTTTACGAAAATACATCTACCATTTGGTCCTCAACAACATATGTGATCAGTGCCATTCTCCGCTCCATGCAGTACATGTGTCAAGTGGTTTCAATCTGGGCACCTTGAAATAAATCGAATAGAAGTCTTAGCACTTAACTACGTGCATTGGCTTGACATGAATTAGCGACTAGCGGAACTTGTCCACACCTGCTTGAAATTCCAACTGTCTACAAAATTTCTCGCATAATGGAATTGTTCACATGGCCTACACAAGCTGCCGCTTGGTCACGACTTAATGTTGACTTGCCGAATCAATCAGTGGCCAACACTATCTGCCACTATTTTGAGAAGTTTCTTCGCAACTGAACTCAGACAGACAGTTACTACACACCTATCGGCCGGTGGCCGAGTGGTATGCGCGTCTGGTTTGCAACCATAAGGACACCGGTTCGAATCCGCGTAGGGGCGGGCGTTCTCGCGGTATACTCAGCCCACGCGCGACTGGTGGTGATCGCGTGGAAGCGAAGCGCCGTTACGGCGTATAGCTGGCGATTTATTTATTATTTATTTTATTACTACACACCCAGGAAAGCGCTAGTCGGCGGTTTCGTCGTGGTGAGACCTGTCATTTGCGCCCACCTGGCAGATTCGAACCCATGACCTTATTCTTCCGAGCCAGCCACTTATTCCATTGAGTCATTGATGACGGTGGCGGACCGCCATGATCGATACCTAACTATGGTATAGCACGGCTCATCCTCCATTGGCATGCATTTTGTAAACGCGTAGAAGAAAGGCCTGAACCTCCCTGATTTACAATTTTCTTTGGAAGTCACCACCAATCGAAGTGGCAAATAAGTTGCTCTCTGCTCCTGGTTGATCCCTACAGCGAATGGCCGGAAATCAGTATGCATCACATCATATCTCGTGATACAAACTAAAACTTTCAGCATGTGTTTAGCTACTTTTTAATTCCACCTACTCTTAGGCGTTCTTTTCCACAGAATTTTCCATCTTTTTTAGATTAAACGGTACCCAACACATCCGGACCTCACCATCCCACCCACAATTCAAGTGGAATGTTTCGTGGGCACTTTCAAGCTATCGCTGCTGAGGCTCAATGGGGAAGGGACCACACCAGAAGTAATCGAAACCTTCCTGTTAGAGATCAACGCCAAATGCAAATACTCCAAATGGAAACTCACTGGCGGAAGTTTTAATAGACCGAAAGCTACTCTTACATGTCAGCATGATCCAGCTAGCCTCACATTTGTCAATCACTTGAAACAGATGTATGGGGAACCAATCTAAACGTCATCACGGGGCCGTGAATCTCATGTTTCACGCTGATCAATCTGTGTTGCCTCAGAATTATTGTGGTTGTGCCGAAAAGTAGACACAGTTTGATTGTACGCGGCACTGAAGTGGATGTACCATCCTCGATCTGGGTCTAGCATGCATTTGCGTTCTCTCTGTCAGACGACAACTCCATCTGAATGGGTGGCAGCATGCCAGCAGTTTTACGACTGGTGTGGTTTCCATCGTGTCATTCATAAAAACCGCGCAGCGAGTGAGCTTGACTGCCCACCGCCACATCCCAAATTGACAAATTCTGTGTTCATTTTCGCGCCTACTTTAACCGATTGAAGTCTACACCCCCGGTTTGTGCTAGTTACGCGGAGTACGGTATTACCGGGACTTAAGTTTCAGCGACCCCGGAGTCTATTAATGTGGATGTTTCATCATTTGCGGGTGTCGCGAACGTACTCAAGATTGATGTAAACAGATTAACTGATACCGCGTTTACAGCACACCTGTTCGTTCGTGTTGTATGGCAGCGAGTTTTTGGCCCATTCGCGTGGAACGCATGCGTCGTCTTTCTGCCTTCGATAACGATTGCATAAGGAGGATGGCTCGTGTTTGGTGGCAACATCCAGTTAAGAGTAATGACGTTCGACATCGCATCGTGGGGAACGCGAGTATTCCCTTCAACAAACGGGTTTTGCTGAGTCAATTGAGATGGCTCGGTCACATCGTTACGCATGGTACCTGAGTGTCCACCACCTCGCGCTCTATTCGCTCGTCAAGCACCTTGCTGGAGGCGACCGCGTGGTGGTCAGCCTTATACATGGCGGCAGCACTTGAAATCGGTGACGTCGTGTCTAACCGCGGTTGTGTACTTTACGTCTTTTAGGATGGGGACCAAAACGTGAGGAGTGCCAATGGCTTATCACTCTTGAAGACATGGCCCGCAACCGGAATCAGTGGAAGAATTGTGTACAAAATTGTATTGCTTCATATGTTTAATACTTCAAACATTGAAAATGACAAAAAAGAGAAAGCGGCGTGTGGAAAACAAACTAAAAATGTTTTGTTCTACTTTTTGTCAAAATGTTCTATTCTTCCTGCGGCATATTAGCTGAAGTGTGTTTCTCACCTTCAACTACTATGCCATGATGACTTCCCCTTATCCGCTAATCTCCATGGTTTTTGTTGTCTCTATGTCTAGTTGCTGGACTACTGAGATTACACACATACCTACATACTCAACAGTAGAGTTATTCTTACTGCAACATTTTGGCTTTTGTTTCTTTCCGAGCATGTGCCCTTCTCTGTAATCCTTCAGTTACGTGTGTTGGGTGGCGCCTGGGATACTAGTTGGTAATCAGTGACACCTAAGAGACGTGTCAAATACGGGACCGGACAGAAATTGAAGGCCACTGAACCCAGCGTATATTGTGCAGGCTACAAAATAGGAAGCGAATCAACCAGAGTGAGAAACGGTGCAGCCGGCTACTCACCAAAACGCTTTGTCGACGGATGTGCCGTCAGTAAAACAAGTGGATCTTTTGAAGGTTAAAACAAAAGTAAAGTCCAATGTTGCAAAATACTGAAACAGCATGTTTTCCGGCACACTACACATGTGATAAGAAGTCCACTCTTGCGAGACCTAGCAAAAGGAAACGAAGTAACCCATTCATCAAACCAATTGTACTTTCTGTCATAGTGCATTTGTTTTGGCTTACTTGTAAACTGCTTATTTGTGTCCCAACACACTAAGCTCCACGTGTTCTTCCTTCCCGAGATCAATATAGATTCACCGGTTCCAATTGCCCGTTATCTACTTATTGTGAAATGGTTCATTTTTATATTTCAGTTTCTCGAATTTACCTCACTTCGCTCTTCACATCAAAGCACGTTACTATGTCAATCTTTCTTCGTTTACACAATCGGCTCGGTTTTCTGTCTTTGAATTTGACCCGTGCAAGGTTTTCATACAATCTTTCCTCACGGTATAAGAGCTCCGGTTCTCGTGATTATGCCGTATTTGATCACGCTTTTGATGCGGTTGTTGTCGGGGCTGGTGGAGCTGGTCTACGCGCAGCATTCGGCTTAGCTAACGAAGGATTCAAAACGGCGTGTGTGACAAAGTTGTTTCCGACTCGTTCTCATACTGTGGCAGCTCAAGGAGGTATCAATGCGGCGTTAGGTAACATGGAGAAGGATGATTGGCGATATCACATGTATGACACGGTCAAAGGTTCCGATTGGCTGGGGGACCAAGATGCTATCCATTATATGTGTGAAGAAGCGCCAAAAGCTGTGATTGAGTTGGAAAATTATGGAATGCCTTTTAGCCGATTAGAAAATGGCAAAATTTATCAGCGCGCGTTCGGTGGACAAAGCATTGATTATGGGCGTGGAGGGCAGGCCCATCGTTGCTGTGCCGTAGCGGATAGAACAGGACATTCTCTATTGCACACTTTGTACGGACGCTCTCTGATGTATGATACAGCTTATTTCATAGAATACTTTGCTCTGGATTTACTGATGGAAAATGGAGTCTGCCGTGGTGTGATTGCTCTTTGCTTGGAGGACGGAACACTTCACCGCTTTCGTGCTAAAAATACTATTTTAGCCACTGGGTAACTCCTTACATCTTTTCTTAATTTTTTTAGTGGCTATGGTCGAACGTATTTTTCTTGTACATCTGCCCATACTTGCACCGGCGACGGGACTGCTATGGTCAGTAGAGCCGGGTTAGCAAACGAGGATATGGAGTTTGTACAATTTCATCCCACAGGTAACATCTTTCATCTGTCCAACACTGCATTGTAGGTATTTACGGTGCTGGATGTCTAATCACAGAAGGATGTCGTGGAGAGGGCGGTTATCTCATTAACAATCAGGGGGAACGCTTTATGGAACGTTACGCCCCGAATGCTAAGGATCTGGCCTCCAGAGACGTCGTTTCTCGTTCTATGACCATCGAGATCCGTGAGGGTCGTGGTGTTGGTCCTCGTAAGGACCACATCTACCTTCAACTGTCACATCTTCCAGCAGAACAAATACATGCGCGGCTTCCCGGCATTTCGGAGACTGCCAAAATCTTCGCTGGTGTAGATGTCACTCGGGAACCAATCCCCGTTCTACCCACTGTTCACTACAACATGGGGGGCATACCAACCAACTACAGGGGTCAGGTAACTCTCTGAAACCCTAGTATTTATGTAATGGGCTTGATTGCGTCCGTATTTTCATTCATTCTCATCAGGTTTGGCCGATTTGTGCTATTTTTCCCGTTTAGTGTGTCTACCGATCTTGCTCATCTGGGAATGCTTATCTGCACGTGATTGAAAATTCGCTGTCCTGCGCATTGCCAGAGCGTCTCCATAGGCCTTGTTTGCAGTCTTCTCCCTAATTCTTCTTGGTTTCCTCATGAAACGCTTTTACTAGAATGATTGTGTATCTTCCTATGCTATGTACTGTGGAAAAACTAGAAACCGCAGAATATGTCGGGTTATTATTTCCATCTCAGCAGTACAGTCTTGAAGGTGCTACGCTGTTCGTGAAGCTTTTGCCTAGTGACTAGGACGTAAGCCATCAACCACTATGTGCCGAGTTCCACTTCCAACGCAGGCTATATCATCCACCTGACGAGTCCAAATCGGACGAAACCGGTCGCTCTTGGGTTGCAGTGTTGGGAGGGAGCAGCTCCGAAATTCCCTACTTAGGATGCTGCCCCGCTGATTGAAATGCCAAAGGTTTAGTTCAAGGTGAACTATGGCCACACTCGAGATTGCGTATTGCAATCCAGATACACGGTGGGTACACTAAAAGGCCCAACAAGGTACTGCCATTACATATTTCGTTACGAAACATCTCAGCTTTTCAACCTTTTCTAGTCTTTTGGCAGAGTGGAACTGCTGACTAAGTACAGTGTGCTCGTATAATCTTGACGAATATCAAAGATCAGGTATTTTTTCAGGGTACCATTCAGTTAGTCGTTTATGGCTCAACTCACGATCTTAATTGCTCCTCGCAACCGGTTTTGTGGTTTTTACTGTTTTGACAATTAATCACAGCTGTCCGGACCTGTGTGTGCAAAAACAGTTGACTGTCACCTTCTAGCTTCCTTGGTGATAGTGACACTTGTCTCAAACGTTGTGATTCTGTTGGAGTTTACACACTTATGTTTCTGCCATTCCCATTCTGACACCATTTAAATCATGGTCGTTAAAAGTCGCTCGTTTGCCTGGGATCAGAAAACGCGAAATGATATCATGGTGCAACACCCGTCTTCTCATTGTATTATTTAGTCTGATACAAGGAACCCAGTGCTTCCAACAACTGAAAGGTCAGGTTACAAAACAAGCTTGTTAGATTTAGGTTACCGGCCGGCACAATAATCTGCGAATCGAAGAGTGGTAAGGGGAAGAGAAGGCGGACCTAGCGCAAAACATTGATCCCTTAAGCAAACATTCGATGAGGTCAGGGCACTCACACCTTTGCAACAACATACGGCCACCAACGGCTACATATAGTGCAAAAGTAAGGCGATATCCTTAAGCTTCCCCGGGGCTTCTACTGCCCCGTGTCATAATCAGCTATTACCCCGCAGATATCTCGGTACCAAGCATATTTCAAACAGACAGTCCGACTAGGAGACGACAGCAAATACGCCGAGGCCGACCTCCACTCTGAGGATATTGGAGGCGACGCTGCTCTCGCACTCTCTGCTTTTCTTGAGTTCTTCTACTTAACGCGCCACGTTTCCATATATGAGGGCGAATTGCGGATCCTAACATAGGATTTTAAATCCTGTGGAATGTGTAAGAGTTGTTGATGCTCGCCTACTTCGCTTGGAAGGTACCATATACGAACTAAACTTGCTGCCCAGACTCGTATTACCCACCCGATCAAGCCAGCTTGGTTAATCAGCAAGCATCCACACATGCCACAGTGCAGACAACTCAGTTGTCTGTGCTAGCGCCTGCACGTTAATTTCAAATAGAATTAGATCGTCGCGATCAGACTGTGCGTTAACCTGGTGTGATGGCTTGTGTGTGTCAACGATCCATTGGGGTAAACCGAACGGTGCTTTATGCACCATCAGAGACACCCATACCTGATTGGACAATAGTTAGAGTTCAGGCAAACTCAGCCCCCTAGTCATCCAGCTTAGGTATTTAAATGAGAATGGCTCCTTATTCCTTAAAACGAACTCTATCCAATCGCCAGACTCTCGCTTTATTGGGGTCAGGTTTTTGAACTCTAGTCGTTCTTCTGTCTAGGCCTAGCCAACCTTACAGTATCCTTCCCACGCAATACAATGAACACTTAATCAAATAATTTGATGATCTAGCCGTCGCTATGATGATCATCGGCGCGCTTTCTACTGCTCCGAACAGAGTAGATAGGTGCGATATAGAAGCAAATGTTGGTAGCTCAGGTTGTTTAGTTGATTGGCTGATTGTTCGCTGAGCTCGGAATAAGGACACTACTACTGAAACTTTCTTGTCTTCTTATTCTCGCCTCCCACGCTCCTTCATATATACCACCTCTTTCTAACCACACATTCGTTCTCCTCTTTTTAACCCTCGCTTCTCGGCTCTTCCCTGCCTTGCTTTACTAGATATTTGTATTCTAGTTTTGGCTCACTCGCAGTCGCAGATGGTCGTTCTGGTCACATCGCCAGGCTCATGTACAGCCAAGCGGAAAACCGCAGCTTTTCCTGTTATATTCTGATGTCTCGATCCCTACTGAGACTAGCATGCCTCAATGTGAGCACTTTGTTGCAAATCCGTCGACAGGCGACACTTTCCTAAACATTGGAGGCCTTATCGATCCATATCTGCTGCGTATCGAAAACCCACCTACAAAACTGGAGCTCATCCTACGATCACCTACATGCAGCATTGATAGTACTCTCAGCGATAACGCATCTTTGAACGCCATTCAAGCCACTGTGTATTTCTTTGGCCCATTGGGCTGGAACTGCTCTGATCGACTGGATTTCAGTCAGTAGCCGGATGTACGCTGTCAGATTAGATGACACACTGAAAAACGTCGAAGTGGCACAGGGAGAATAGCTGACTTTTTATCATTTCTTCTTTCACCCTACAGACTATAGTGTTGATTCGGTGAAAGACGATTTCTGTCGTCATATTATAATCGAGCTCACTCCTTAGAAAAAAGTGCGGGTACTGTGGTGCTGGTTGGTGATCTGGACGCTCAAGTTAGCAAGTTGTCCAACAATGAGCTTCATCTAAGTCACCAACACGGTGTAGCCTCCCGTTATCATGACTTGGCTGGCTTATTTCTTGCGAGCACTAACTCCGATGTAGCAACCACGGCAAATTGATATGGTGCTCATCATTTTGGGACTGGTCATAGACTCAGATCAATCACTTCGCGATCAGTTAACGCTGGAGAGTTTGCACCCGAAACTCGCCCGTTTTGTGGCACAAGCCTGGTGGTTGCCGATCTCCGACGGACGCTTGAGACCACGCTGCGAGCGTATAGATACCAGCTGATTGGCGCAGACATGTGTTATAAGTAGAGATATCAATCTACTCTGGCATTCGGGTTGAGTAAGCGCTCACTGAACACAGTTGAAGACTACAGAACACATTAGTCTTCGCGTGGTAAATCAAATTGCCCATCTTGACATTGGGTTTCAACAAAATTTCCTGAAATTCTTGATGCTCGCCGACACATTCCGACTGGAATCGAATACAACGAGACTCGAAAGGATCTCAGGCCGAAACTACGTGACAGCTTTTAGAGGTCGCGAATCCTGCTTGTCTTATCGTCCATCGGCGATGAAATTGCACTCTGACCATATTAGTATTGAGTTGAAGATTTGAAACAGGCAACGGGAGACCTGTTGCTAGCAGGAATATATGCAACGAGAGTGGATAGCCTATCCACAACTTGTCAGTGCTTTTAACGCTGGGCTGAACACTTTGAGAAGCAGTTTAATCGGACAAAGTTGGTAGCCTCCTTCTCGATCAGTGATGGCCCCAATCCTTGCTTCCACCCTCTCGCGCAGAGGTCGAGCGTGAGATGAGACTGCTTCAACGGTATAAGGCCGCGGGACCAGATGGACTTGCTCTAGCCCACTTCATATTCGAGGGACCTGCTTTTGTGGATGGTTTTTAAAATGTGCTTGTAAAACTGGGGACCTAGGAAAATGTGCTGACGGGAGCAGCTCCGTTACAATCCCGATTTTCAATATGAGCTCATCTTCTGAATGTGGCATAGAGAGATGAAATATTCACAGTCCTCATGCCCAATCAAAGGCCTTATACTCAGGATACTCGAAGCTATTGTTATAGATCGACAGTCTTCACCATACTGTGTCCAAAAACAGCTGACAGTAACACAATAAGACTACCGTGGTAGCGTCCAAAGCACCAGTTTATCTTTAATGGTTTTCATGTGGCATTGTTCAGAAAATCAATCACCTGGCAGCCATATCGGCACCTGTAGAATAGAAGCTGAGGTCATGAATTGCCTAGCAAAGGCCCAAGGTGTTTTAGTCAATCTTCACCAATTGCGGTGCCGGCGGGCAACGTTTGCGATGTAGTTGTGGGTTTAACACTCCTGTACGATTGTGAAACTTGTCCCTTCAAATCGAGTTCGACTACTGGCGTCTTCGCGGTTTGTGTCACATCTGGTGGGAACATCCCACAAGGGTGTTCAACGTTTATGGCACAGAAAGAGCAAGTGAACTGCTCAGCACCATCATGTCACACATCAGCCTTCCATGGCTGGGCTATGTGTTACACATGCCAGTACACCGACTTTCGCCACATGGGCTGTTTGCACGACCGGGTTCCTAATGAAAGAAGAGGAGCAAAGATCAATCGACGACTTAGTCGAAATGAATGAAGGCTATTACTTCGAAATTGGCCTCAGATTTGAATCCTAATGACAATGAACGCGTTTAGTTGGATACACTTGTTGACAGCCAAGGACCGACTTCAGTGGGGCGTTTATGTTGTGAGTTTCCCTCCCCACTTAGCCTCCCCTCCAACCATAATCTCACTTTCGATTCACACAATTGAAAGCAGCGTACTACTGCTTGTTTTTGTGTTCTGTACTTTTTAGTATTTCACTGCTTTTCATATGTACCAATTTGTATTTCAGTATAATAGATGAGGTATTTCTTATCTCTAGCTAACCTGTAGAATGATAATGAGAGTTGAAAACGATTGAAAGTAGGCGGGGGCGAATGATCAAAAATTTCGCGTCGCTGGATGAAACGTCAAATGCATGGTTCGGTTAAATACAGGAGTACAAGTAGTTACGCGATTGTATCATACCGGAAAGAGTGTAACAGTCGTAGTAACCAGCTTCGATAGTTTGTTTCGCGTGGCTTCTGCCACAGCCACTGCGCCTCCCATCTATAATACCGAGTTTTCAGATTTTCACTTATCACGTAGATCTGTCTGTTATTTGTGGTCAATAGTAGACCATTCTGACCAGCTTACACCTATCTACAGGTTGATGCATTATTTGTGACATATAAGGCATCGTGGCTTCCTGATTTCCAGATATATGAGAAGCAGGAATGATGGATAAGACCGAATGCTTGCCAGCCCAGGTCGTATTCCTGCACATCGGCCCGTAGCCTCAAGGTAACGAGCTTGTCTTGCAATCTAGCGGCGCGAGTTTGAGCTTGCGTACGCGGGATCAGGCGACCCTCGCAGTATCTGTAGCCCACGTGCGACCGGTGGTGGTTGCACGGCAGCGAAACACAAGTACTGAGTACCGGATTAATGCGGATGCCTTTCGTCATATTGCACTACTTTCTGCAGAATGCCAAACGGGGCAGTAAACTTCGCAGAGCCAGAGAGGGACTCGTCAAACCTGCGTAGCATCAAAGAGTAGAATAGTGCATCGTAGCACGAAGTTTACCTGTTTTCTAGATCGGGCCTTAGCATGGGATTGCTTGCTTTAATTTATTATGTCGGGGAAGTGCTTCCCTAAACTGTTGCTTGGAAGTGCCACTTCGAGTTCTCTGGTTCCACAAAATTGCTTCTAGTTATTGCTATTATTATGCTCACTGCTTTTTCATTGATGATGCTGATGAAACATGGTTCTCACATTTGGTACCGCTACCGCGACCAATATTCCGCCTCGTCACACTCGAACGGTAACCCTAACCACATGCACTTTACGTAAGTTACATTGCTTTTTTTTTATAAATGTCGGTGTTGCCTCATTCACCACCAATTTTTCTTTCTGCAGGTTCTTATCTATGATCCAGTCGCAGGAAAGGACAAACTTATTCCTGGTTTGTATGCAGCCGGAGAAGCTGCATGTGCCTCTGTGCATGGAGCCAACCGACTTGGTGCCAACTCTTTGTTGGATTTGGTTGTTTTCGGTCGTGCATGCGCTTTGGATATTGCTGAAAAGCACAAACCCAAAGATCCTGGTCCTGAACTGAAACCAGACACAGGCGAAGCTTCAGTGGCCAACCTTGACAAACTACGACACGCCAATGGAAAGTATCCTGTTGCCGACGTGAGTTTGTTTCCACGCACCCTGAGCACGGTAGACAAACAGGCTGCGTTGCCGTCCTTTTTTGCCATGCACACTGTGCTTTTTTCAGTAGCTAGGTCATGTGCATACCGACCACGATCTTAGCACTGAACGGTTAGGCATTACAGCTACTTCAGTGTCTGTACACTATCAGATGTAATTCACTATCTGTCCACAATGCCAATTTATATTTGGGTTCCAGCCCGAGGCCGATTTTAGCCATCTGCCTTGCGTCTTCCTCTGGCTCGCTCACATTACCAAACGTTCCGAATTTGGACAGGTAGTACCCTAACTGGATTTCTGCATCAATCGTTAGGTCGTAGCAATTGTTCTGGTCCCAATCACCTCCAAATTGCAGCATATATATATATATATATATATATATATATATATATATATATATATAGCATCAGTCTATGAATAGACAATAGCCATCAAAAATCATGGAAATCAATGGAAGATACAATTGTCATTAAAACAAACCGAACGCATCACAGAGAAATCCATGAGGGCAAGACACTACTCGGTTGCCCAAGCCGAAGTAGGGTGTTGTCTTAAGGACACCACCCAGAGCATTTAGCTAAATAGCCTACTCGCAAGGTAGTGGGGCGAAATCAGGGAATCGCGCCCATTGGGTACAGGTGACTGCTCAGTCCATACGCCTTTCATTTTGTCAGCTGACAAACAGAGGCCCAGTCCTACCCATGGGTTAGAGTAATTCAACCCTGCACCTTCTGATGGTGTCCGGCACCAAGAGTAATACTCTCCTCTGTTGCTACTAGACTGATACTGTATTTAAGAGCAAGTAGAAAGGTTTCTGTACAACTCTATCGAGTTACGAAAAATCAAAATTTACTTGTGAATTATCAGCAGTTGTGTCTGGTCCGTTAAGCGTTTATCCGTGTTGGTTAGAAATTTGTACTAGCGTCATTATTTCTGGACATACAATGTCTTCTTTTGGCACTGTATAGTTGCAGGAAATCAAGCAACTTAGCCAATAATCGTTTCTTAAGGGTGACATGCTTGTAAGTTCATGTCATTGTCATATTTGCAGGCGGAGACGCTCGTCTGTTTTGTGCCGAATCGACAGTATTCCAGAACTACTTGACCTCAAGGACATTCGTAATATACATTCTGGCTGCGTCAGCTTGATGTTGTCCCGCGTATACCGGTTGCTTTCAGACACTACACCCTCTTGGATGAATCCGCAAGGTGACATCACAGTGAAGGGATGGAAAGTGGCTACGCAATACTCGGGCCTTTGTTCATTATCCTCTCATATTTTTACTCCCGTGTCGATCTTACAGATAGTTAAGGACCCTACACCACATTTGCGCAGTGGTAATCTTAATGGCGCCACTCCATTGAATTTTACTATGAAGCTGTATGTCCGATGACTCCAATTTCTATTTTTTGCGTAGTCTCTCCGTCTCGTTGGGCTATTATCATGGCGATGCGAGTCTCTGCACTTCGGTATACCAACTGCTAACCGCTAACTTCGGCATCCTCTCAAGTTGACCCCTACGTCGTTACTTTTAGTTACGCTTCTGTATTCCACACGTTGTCGTGTTTTCCGTGATTTTTAATTTACCCTATCAGTGCTTATATATAGGGTCGTTGCTCGATGACATAGCGATGTGTTATTCGGTATCCCCATACTATTCACACCACTTTTGGTCGCTGGTCTCAGAGAGGCGTTTTTTCGTGCCACAGGTTCGACTGGAAATGCAACGGACAATGCAAGACTACGCTGCAGTTTTCCGTGATGGACCAACTCTGCAAGAAGGCTGCAGACGAATGAACGACTTATATGTATCAAAGATGTTTGACCTCAAACTGACCGACCGGAGTTTAATATGGAACACTGATTTGGTTGAAGCTCTGGAACTACAAAACCTAATGCTCAACGCTCTTCAAGTAAGTTCCCTCTGCATCGCTCGTCGCTAAGTGGCGATCAAGCGCATAGGTGCAAGCGACCTCGAAGCGTCCCTAGTTCGCGCGCAACTGTTTGTGGTCACATGACGGTGAAGCGCCGGTGCAGTGTACTGCTGGTGTCCTTCACCACTTTTTACGCAACGTTCTAATTGAATAACCAGTATATTCTCGGACGCTGTGAAAAGCCTATGTTGCGAAAGGTAAAATCAAAACGTATAGATATTTCACGCTCTTGCATGAATTTGCATACACTAAGTTTTGGCAGACGGATAAATTATCAGTTTTTCTATACTTTTAAGTAATATCTCCCTCGCAGATCACTATGGCTTTATGTACTCCCATTTATCGGTCTGATCTCGGGCTCTCCACCTGGTCATTTCTCCTTTTTTGCCATTGTAATCTGGTGCAATTGTGTCTAAGCATTTATTCAACCCAACGGCTGCGGTTCAAAAGTCGTGGTAAGCCAGCATATATTTCTGATAATTTTTCCTCAGTTATACAGTTATATACAGTGGAAGTTCTTTGAGCAGACCAACGTGCCGTCAAATATAATTGCTGTTAATTAAGTCACTGTCTCAATCGGCGCATTGTTCAACTGTAGAGTTCACGGGGCAATTGGGTCAGGACAGACTTAACGCGTGAATGTGAACCGCGCTCCTGAATGCACAGCTTCGATTCATGCAGCTGAGCCGCGATGTCCTCAGCCTGTCTCAAAGCTGATTTCATCCACTGTGTGATAGAAAGGTTATAGTCGCTTGTGTGCGAAACCGATTTGATGGTACAACGCCTCTCGGCAAATATAACAAGTCACATCTTTACCCCACATCATCACATCTTTACCCCAAATATAAAACTTCTCCTCCCTTCTTTATTCACCAATGTAGCCTCATACCAATTTCACCGTTGCGTACAATGTTTGCTTTCTGTTCTCATTTCAACTAGCCCCGCGACTGACACCTTTTGAACCAATCACATTGACTAGGCCATCATGCCTCATTTGCTTAGTGCCCAATAAAAACTTTCACTAACCCGTACTGTTAATGGTTTCCATCTTACCGCTGGCACTTTTTGTAAATTCACCGATATGTTCGTGTAAGTATATGGGGAGAACTTCGCCCCTTCCCACACAGCTAACCTATTTTCTCATCTATCCCATTCACAGACTATCGTTGCCGCCGAAGCGCGCAGAGAATCCCGCGGCGCCCATGCACGCGAAGATTTTCCAAACCGAATTGATGAATATGATTACTCCAAACCGCTCGAAGGTCAGACTAAGAAACCTTTCAAAGACCATTGGCGAAAACACACCTTGTCCTATCAGGATGCCAACACCGGTAAAGTCACACTGGACTACCGACCCGTTATCGACGAGACCTTGGATGCTAACAAATGCCCAGCAGTGCCCCCGAAAATACGTGCGTATTAGATGTAAGTGGCGGCCTCTTCTTTTTGCTGTCCATGTGGAATCTGTTTGTCATGTCATTGTTCTCACTGCTGTCCACTTGTTTTTAGGCTAATCATCCTTTTTTTCTTTTCATTTTACATCGGGCCTCCACCCTCATACGACATCTAGTTCAACCGACAGATGGTCCCTCTTACTTTCATTTGTGTGAGTCGGTCATTTTTTTGCCTTTGGACTGAGTAGTGACGATGGCGTGCTGAACGATGCTTACTTAATAACCCAGAAATGCTTAAGATAACCTACTTGACTACGATTCAGAACTCAATCGGAGCTACCAGGATTAATCTATCCTTGGATTTACCTTCCGACAGTTCCTAACACCTTGAATGATGTAAAGTCGGCGATCAAGTTGCCCGGCTCGGTGAACAGCTGGAGTAATGAAAAGCAATACCACGCGTCCTCGTTTCTGATTATCACTCCGGATTTTAGGGTTACTTTGTGATTTCACCGCTTTTACCACCTTGTTGAATGTCTTTTATTGTCCTGGCTTTCATCATGCACATATTGATTTTTATGTTTCAGACGCTGGAGGCGTACCACTTCTGTTTCCATAGGCATTTACGGGTTCCCCTTCACCATACTACACGTGATACTGCATAGGTTAACATAACCCTTGTTTCCCGATAACTGTACCAATCATTTTCACATTAGTAAAATCATGACTACTTGTGGTAAGGCGTTCTTCTTTATTTTTCAACGGGAATTCTGTTTCGAGCACCTGCAACACCTAGCCGACTGACGACTCGGTTTGCACAGCTCATTAAATCTCCATTTTCGATGTGGCTATCAAGTGGAACTTTCAATGGCATTACTTGGCCTCGCCGACTGATGGTGGCCGGAACGCCATCCACCTATCCTGTCCAGATGATTGATCGATACTTACTTGTAGATTAAGTTGTAGTTGTAAGACCCTTTCCAATCTAACACCTTTTTCTACGTATATGCTGCATTCACTTAGCTTATTGTGTTTTGAAACACCCTCGGTGGGTCAATCAACTCGGTCCTCCAACCCGATTCAGTCATGATTCGGTCAATCACGTCCAAGCCTTACAGCAGCCGGCTGCCGAGCCATTTAGTTTTTCCCCCATCCCGGGATACACCGGGAACGGTTTTGGAGCTACGCTCTTTTGACGCTTTGTAATTAAAAGTTGCATCTGTGGAATAATCCACGGAATGTATTCAACCACATCAGAATGGTCTAAAGGAGAAGAAAGTCACACGCGCTCTCAGGAAAATACAAGCGAAATACAAAATAACCCAGATGAAAACAAAATGCTGATCAAAAAGACAGTTACGTAAGGTAAGATGAGACCAACATTATACGGTAAAAGCACAGCCAAGATGGTGCGCCATTGCTCTGGCGCCGATATGTGTGCTATTGCAAAAAAAGCAGATTTTCATGAATGTGTGTTCTATTTACGTGTAGGACCGCCATCTTGTCGTTGGATCGGCCGCTTTTTCAATCCTAACTTGGAAGTCTTCGTCCTCAGATAGGCATCTGGAGCTAATCCACGGCTGGAAGTGGATGTACATACAGTGTTTGTGGTATTGCCCCGGCTGGTTAACTTGGCCAATTGTGTTGTCACCGCATTGCGCAGTCCCCCGCCTGGTTCCCTTCTTTTCGACGAGCTAAAACAAGTGGACAACGAAAAATGAATCATATCAATGATGCGCCGGGTTTCGGTCTATGATAACAGGTATATGTATGGTTGGAACACCATGTTAGCAACGGCGTCGCGTCTTACGTGATGCGGTTTTTCTTCTCAATACGCTCTATCAACGAGGCAATCGGTATGGCTTGATCACGTCTTAGGCATGCCGTACGAATGACTACCAGCGCTTTATTTGTTCGCAAGCCAACACAGTAGAGGAAATCGCGCAGTCGTAAGCCTACTACGTGGCAATAAAACGGCAGTGCTACTTCCCGGTTTGTCTTCTGCACGGGGATCAAAGTACGAGGAACACCGCTGACTGGAAACGCGCGGGCAATGATCCGACAGTCTAGCCTGTGTCGGTTAGATTTGCACACATACACACACGAGTTTCTCCGTTTAAAACACCGCGTGTTTTCCGATGTACACGAATAGCTCATTTTCCATGTCTAGCAATACTAACTCAGTATACCCCGATCATCATTTAGAATAAGAATCATTCGGACGAATTTAACGAATTCCCACAGGAATGTGAGCCGATGTCAGTTTGTGCTCCACTGATCTCGTCAAGTGGACGTCCAAAAAATGTGACGTGTTATGTAACTCGAAAAATATCTTGAACCTTCGCGTTTCTACGAACTGGTAACATCATTGTCTTGTGCGTGCCCAATATATCGGTGTCCCCCCTCCAGATGCGCATTTGCAGACAGGGGACGGACGCCAAGGGAGACTATGCGCTTGCCTTACACATCTACATCCTGAGTCTCATCTACACAAGCCGTGACGTCCGGGAAGGCCCGCGGCCAGTTTAATCAACGTTTACCGTGTATTACAGAACAGTTGCATATCAGTGACACGGCTCCGAGATAGAGCAATCAATAGAAATTGAAAGATCAATATCGACAGTCGTTAAGTTATATGGCGCGTGATGGATAACTGAGTCTAGATGTGATAAATTTCTACGAAAATCAATAAGAAGCCGAAGCGGAGCACGTGCTGAATTATTGGAGCAGAAAGAACTACTCTCATAAGCCATGCGACTTGGATTGTAAGATGGATTTAGACGGCTGCGCGGACCATGTCATCGGTGACTGACTTCAGTAGGTGTGCTCAATCTCGTTTAGAGTGTACTAACAATTATAAACTGCCATCGGAGGGTCGTGTTTACTACTTCGTAACCCGGCTACTTTGCACATGAGCCGAAGCAGTTCCAATCGAGTGTGTTCACCTTAGGTTGCCAAGAACACAGAACATGCGCAGTACAACAACCGTGTGCACTAGTGACCTTATTATTTCTCCAGGAGTGAGTCGTAGACCATTGCACAGTGGAGCTACTTTATGACTCCAGAAGCATCAAAAAACGATGTATCCCTTGTTTCTCAGCGACCATTGGTAGTACCGCCACATGAACAATAGAGTTGGTAGCAACACTATTCATGTGTAAGCACTTTGTGGATATTCGAACATGTGCAGCTATCTTTGGCATAGTAAGCGATTACGCGCATTCACTAACTCGGGTTCGATCAAACTTCCGCGGCAGCGCGTATGGCCACGTTGGCTGTAACACAGTCACCACTCGCACGCCGCGTACTACCTCCATTATGAATGGTGGTTACGTTGGAGCAGAAATCCCCCCGGCAGCTCAGGGCAATGTGAAACTGATAACAAACCATATAAAAATTCGCATGTTGTAGTGGGTCATGCACATTAGCAGTGCTCTGTTTAACACTCCTAATCGGATTCATGCAGGGACGATAGAAAACCAGATGGCACTAGGGCGTTCCCGCGTTGTGGTGTCAACTAGTGCCGTCTATCACGCGAGTGGTGACTTTCATGTTAGACGAAAGCAAACATTGTCACGCAGAGAAGGATACATTCACTCGAAAGTTCATGATGTGATCTGAAGTCACACATGATTGGGGTGTCAGCCGTCTTATCGTCTGAGCGGAACTACTCACTGAGACAAAGTACAACCATCGCGAATAAAATAGCCAAAATAAAGCTTGAACTGTGCGCGCAAAAGTGACAGACAAAATTGCGCCCCTCTGAAACTTACTTGTGGTATTTGTCATCGCCTTGAATGCGAGAGTAAATGTCATTCAAGAACTGTTCCACCTCATGTGTTCGAACATGATCACCGGCCTCGACAAGGTCCAAGCGAACGCGATCGAGACCCGGAACAAGCCAGTGCAGAAGGCTTTCTTCTACGTGCGTAGCTGATTGGACAGGAACTTGGTTAAGGCGAATGACCAACTTGCCTTTTGATCATCTACAAGGTGAAATCATCATAAAAAGCTCTAGCTGCACTAGTATTTCTCGTGGTAACATCAAACAGAAGTGGTAAAGCGAAAAGAAAATTTCGAATTTGGGGATCGGCGAAGCTGTATTTGTCTGCTAGGCTCAATCGGTACATTGTCGAAAAATCTATCTAAGAAATCGGTATCCGTTGCCGTAGAGAACCGCCTTCTCTGTGGCCTTGTACATACGGCACTGCAGACCAGTGGAAAGCCTCTGGGGTTTCCGATGCTGTGGATTCATGAAAGCACTTAGGGCTTTTACTATGTATGAACAGATCTCAGCGGTTGCGAATGATGAATTACTAATGATGTGCTCGACAATATAATCGAACTGAGTACCATTTTCAGTTCGTTGTTGCCAAAAGTCGATCAGTTAGTGGGCGGCTAGTGATTACGTGTCAGCATTTATCCCTAGAAATCGGATAGTGCATGCACGGTGAAGCTGCACTCCAGGAGGAAGTCAACAATGGAATTGAACGAAAGTATCTCACACTGGCGAGCACTACTCACTGTTAGAAAAGCTCCTGGTTGACCTCGTCGGTTACAGCCATGGTACCGGCCCTGGTTACTTTTCTTAAATTAGCAACTCAGTTAAACGGAAAGCCCATAGTCGACGGGCTATTTCTTCCGGTGAATCGACTCAGCAAACAAAATTAGAGAATCAATGGATCTTCCATTCTGGGACAGATGCAACAACGGTGAATGACGCACTTTGGGTAGTCAGCCATCCACTATTTGGACTTGGACCTTACATGATGCATAACCCACAACCGGTCCCAACGGCATGTAAACTCCTCGTTCCTTGTTCTAACGCTACATTGTCCCCATTCAATAGCCAACAATAAGTGTGACCGCGTGGTATTGGAAGGTTGTGGATGACATGATCCAGAACGTTTGCTTAGGGCATTTGGGCTACACTGGGTCTCACGTCTCCATCTGTCCTTACTTGGTAAAATTATGATTGTATCATGTATGTATCAATCACTATGGCACTTCTGCCGCCGCCATTGACGATAGACCCATCTACATGTGTAAATGCGTGACAAGGCCAATGTACACCATGTAAGTTCAGTAAAAACCCAGGGCAGCAGCGGAAGTTATGCTTCCAAACACCGAACGGTGAACATTGGCACTGCTCGTTCAGTGATCTCATAGGAACATTATCCACCCACAAACACAGGGATTAGTGTAGAGTTGCGCATCATGTCCTTAACTGGTAAGGAAATCACAGGAACCGGAGAAAAGTAAAACGATAATTCCCACTGCGTTCCTAGCTGGACAAATCGATGAGCCCTTTTGAGTGACTGTTTGCAGGAAGATTTTGTGCTTAACCGGTGTAAAGAGTACTCCTTTTAGAGTAGTCACAGAGAACTGGAACTTGACTCCCATATTGTCTGCGCATCACAATTCACTACTTCCATTGTACATAAAGTGTCTAGCATAGAGTGATGTTTCACCACAAGAATTCAATTGGTCCCGGGAGCATTGTCTATCGCGAAAAATTTGGATGTTTTGTGCGACAGTTGCGGGGGAATAACTACGAAACTAAGAGAAATGTTCAAGTGCAGATGGCCGTTGCATCGTATGCACGAGAAAAATTATTGTTTGTACACCACAGGTAAATTAACGGTGCAGTGCCTGAGTGTGCGTGATTTGCCATCATAGTGTGAAAAAAAGTCGATATTAAAACATTCGAGTATCGAAAAGGATACAGTATGCAGCGGTAGAGAACACGGCGAACAGGCGATCAGCAAGGCGGGCACGATGGTCCAAGTCGGGTAGCGCGTTGTTCAATTCGGCCAGGTGACACAACCACGGGAGTATCACTAGACCAAAGGGAGAGAGTATAGACTACGTGGAGGTATCATGGTCCGAAATAGGGTCGAACGAAGAGGCTGAAAATGAGTACGGGGGCCGTATGCACGAGGTATAAAACTCGCAGCAGAGTAAAAAAAACTTGTGGAAGGGAACGTAAGGTGAGAAGCTCCGTGGTGCACGTATTGTAGTTGCTGAGTGACTATTGAGGTTGAACAGCCACTCGTGCGCCAATGTGACAAAATCTAAGGCATCTTTAATGTATTTGCTACCTTGATCAAGTCACTGAAAGCAATCAGAGTCGACGATGTTAGTTTACAATGGACAAGAATTAAAACAATTGGTTGCGACAGTCGAGGATGAAGGGACAAATGCAACAGCGCCACTGACTCATGACTGTACTGGTCCCGAGCTCCCCATATCCGGAAAGATCATACATATTAGCTTGACTCTCAGAATTCACGCAACTAAGCGCAGCATTGGGTGACAATATATACCGAAGTTGCTAGCTAGCCGATCCATCGGAGGCGATTCGATTTCAACTGTCACTTCAACAACGCACATCAGCGGGACTGCTGCCAAACTCCAGATAACGAGGCTCAACGATATCCCGGTGAACCGACCAAATATGGGTAACATCGCGCAGGTATTGGTGGACCAAAACGCACCGTAGTCTCTTTGTCCTTTTCAACTGTTAAGCATTAAGCATGAATCCAAACAAATATGTATGCAGATCTTCCACTTGTTTCGATTGCTCGCCATATCCTGAGTGGTTTAACCACCGCATCATCTTCATCATGGCACATAAACTGGATGTGAGGAACACACTTCAGCTACTTTGCAGCAATAAAGAGAAACGGAATTGCGATATAGAAGCAAATGTTGGTAGCTCAGATTGTTCATTTGGTGTGGTCTGAGTGTTCGCTGAGCTCGGCAGTTTGCAGTCAAAGTGCCGAGTTCAGCGAACACTCAGACCAGCAACAGAAACGGAACTTTTTTTTGCTACTTCATACACACAACGGTTTCGCTGTTTTTTTCTTTTGAACTGTTTGGCACTAGGCATCTGAGTCTAAACATGTATGTACACAGATCTTTCACTGATTTCGATTGCGCGCCATATCCCGAATTGTTTCCAACCATCGGTACTCCTCTTCCTTTGGTCCCCAACCAAGCATATGTGTGGATTCAATGGCAGCAAGACATGAAGTCAACAATTTCATGTGCTGCCGCCAGCTGGACGGCTGACCACCACGTGGTCTCTTCCAGCCAAGTCTTGCACGAGTAAAAAGGGCGCAGTGGAGTGAACGCTCAACTGACATACACAGGACATGACCTAGCCACCTTAACTGACAGCGAAATAGCTTGTTGAAAGGAATAGTCGCATACCCTAAGACACAAGGTCTGACTTCACCATTGCAGTTACGTTGTTGCTACCATACAAAAACAATCCTCCTTAGGCACACATCCTCGAAAGCGGACAACCGGCGCATGTCATCTACGCGAACTGACCACGACTCGCTTCCAGCTAGTAACACCGTCTGAACGGTGGCACTGTAAACACGACCCTTTACCACGAGGGAGACTTGTCGACGGGGCCACAAGTGTCGCAAGTTGACAAATGACGACCGGGCTGTGGCGATGCAGAGAGAAATTCCTTTGCTCATAGCACCACCAACAGACATGCTGCTGCCCAGGTATACAAAGTTATCGACGTGTTCAAGCTGTGCGTCTTAAACAGTGAGGACGGCAACGGGCGGGTGCCACTCATAAATCAGCACTTTGCATATCGACGGGGCCAAGCACATTTTACACTTAGGTGCCTTAATCGCCAAACGGTTTAGTATGGTTTGCATACCATGCATGTGGAAGGGGTGACCACTATCAACGAGTATTTTGGATGCAAATTCGTTGCAGGAGTTAACATGGTTAGATACACTAATGTAAACAAGTCCCGGTCTTGAGACAGTACTACATCGAGTTAAATATTTCATTGACCTGGTAATAACTTTTAATTGTTTGTTCGACATGCCGTGGAAGATCACCGAAGAGCACTAGGTCCAATAGAGTGGCGCACATTCAGTGCTAAAATGTAAGATCAAACAATGGGGCGTGGAGGAAGTTCTGAGACGAGTCTGAGTCACTTGACTTTAGCGAATACTTCATCGACGTGAAGACACCACGTAAAATGACTGCATAAGGCGCGTAGCCTATAGGTAACAGGCTTGTCTTGTAATCTGACGATGCGGATTAGAACCTGCGTAGGCGCAGGTCGACCCTCCCAGTGGTGGTTGCTCGGCAGCGAAGCGTCGGTACTGCGTACCGCCGTACTTCTGAAAATGACTGCACCACATCATTCTCAGGTGGAAGTGTCGAAAATTTCACCATCGATGCAAAGTTGTGGGCACTGCGTTAAGGTATTCTGGACGCTTCGGCTGCACTGGGTCGGAATAGGCTTACACCCTTCTTCTAGCTAAGAACAAAGTCACAGTGGCGTAATTCGACTGACTCATGGCGTATTTCTCGCTGCCTTTCGGGAGTACGTTTTACCGAAGGCCTGTGTCGTTCTCCTATTCAGGTCAGGACGCCATGATGGCGTCCGGCAACTCGTAGAAGTTTCGCAAGATGCGTCAGCGATTAACTCTAGAGCTCCGTCGCATCAAAAAGGCATGGTGGACGGAGAAGGCAGAGCAGATGGAACGCTACGACGAACGCACAAACACAAAGAGTTCTACGACTCCTTGAAGGCATTGTATGGACCCACCTTGCAGTCGCAGAGGACACTGGTGGACGCTGCTGTGGGTGTTGACTGCACACCGGCTGCAGACATTAGGTAGGTATGACTTAATCACTTGCACTGTCTCTCGAGTAAACGTTCAGAGATTGACACGAGCGGTGTGTTTTCAACACGCTGATATTCCATGGGACGCCAAGAACACTCACTCACAGCTGTGAAACCGCAAGCGCGCCGGTGCTGAAGGGATGTCGTCAGAGGTGCTGAAAAGCTGCGGACCCGCAACTCTATATGCGCTGCACTAGTTGGTGGAACGCGTGTGGTTTAAAGAGCGTTAGCTGAGCTGAAGGATGCCTTTGTGCTACCAGTGCGCCAATTCAGTCTGCTGAGTTGCTTAAACCCAAACGTGGCTGAGGGACAGTGCGGATTCCGTTCTTGCTTGCGCGAATAAATGATAGCCAACATCACTGCCATGTCTGTTACCGTAAAAGTCTGGTGAAGAAGTAATCGAAAACAATTGTTTGTTTTTCGCCTACCGCTTCCTGAGATTCCGTTCTAGCTGCAGCACAGAAGATGTAGTGTTTGCGGCTCGTCAACTGCAGAGGTGCCGCGATCGAAATCACCCATTGTCCTCGCTGTCCATCGATTTCACCAAGGCATTCGACACGGTGAATCGTGAGACACTGGGCTGGCGTAAAGTAAGTTTGGTTGCCTAGATAATTTTGTAAGTCCGACTGTACATTCTTATGAGGTCGAGGGTGTATCCATGCGGACAAACCTCGGATGACTTTGTTGCCTCTGTTGTGAGGCAAAGCTGCGTCTTAGCTCCCGCCCTGTTTACAAATTATATATATATATATATATATATATATATATATATATATATATATATATATATATATATATATATATATATATATATATATATATATATGGTTGGCGGCATCCGGTTTCCTATTTGCTTGTCACTGTGGCCAGCCGCAGGGCGCCTGCGCCTACAGAGGGACCATGGGTGGCTTGCGCTGCACCACCCAGCTCCAACCACACACACCCCATATCCAGTGTAAAACCGGAAGCCATGTGGATGGGAGCCACGTTTCATCAACGGAGCCGGCCCACACTCTTTCACAGGCAAACACAAGCACGCTGTATTTGAGGAATCAATCGCACACGAGGCGGTGGCTGGACCATAGTCCGCTCCTCACTGTGTGCATGGAACCGCTCTTCCAGCATAGCACGGCCACAAGGACCGTGCACACCGTCCCCTCCAGCAACGAACAACTGTCTCCTGGAGCGAGTATGGACGAGGTAGTGAGTAATAGACAGGTAGGCACCTTGTCAACATTTACATCAAGCGCAGCCACACCGGGGATAATAAGCAACAGTCAATTACTTGAAACGACAAGATCTAAAATAAATTCAACAATGCATTCAGATACGGTGGCATAACTCTTTGCTAAATTAGCATATGAAGTAGGTTGGTTAGCAACGAATCCGCGGTAAATAAAAAATACCCACAAGTTACTTAAAAATGGTACAAACGCAACAAAGTTACCGAAGATAAACGCAATTAGCGTAAGCAGCGTGGCGACTTAATAGAACATTATTCAGGTAGGCAGAATAAACCGAATAAAGTGGAATGAAATATATCCATCTTAAAAAGACCTAGTCTAAGTGTAAGTTGGTTTAGCCTAACTGCAGTGAAGAAGCATCAAGAATGCAACATCAGCCTCAGCATGGGGCTATATATATATATATATATATATATATATATATATATATATATATATATATATATATATATATATATATATATATATATATATATATATATATATATATATATATAGCGTTATGGGCTTTATCAACCTGTTAAATCCGACTGACGACGGAGCTGATTGTAAAGGGTAGGTTTGGAAACGGTCAGCCACAAGGTTTGTACTTCTGATGACGTCCAAGCGATTACAGTGACCCTTGTTTACTTCAAAGCAAATCGAGATACAGATTACTTGTGCCGTAATACAAACACAAACGACGGGTAACCTAAAGCATAATATTGAATTTACAAGCGCAGTGCCAACTGTTGCTCGTGAAGCCCAGTTGTTCAGGGCGAAGGTGTCTCTGTCAACTTACTCTCTATGGGCTCGACACTCAGCTCCGGCTATCACCCCGGTCAGAACAGTCCGAACGTCGTCAGCACAGACCATGAAGTGCAATGCAGTGGGAGAAAGTTACGCCACACACGTCTCCACTAAAGGATACAGTCCCCGAGATCGGAAT